AGAAGCTTGTTTCCCAATACCAGTTGTTTTTTGAGGGGAATACTGCACTATATGCTTAATTTTAGATCCAATCAATTAGGAATTGTCATCTGATGGGACTACGAAAAAGGGCCTTCTTGGTGGTGCCCCCTTCTTTATAGAATATAGATCCCCCTGAGATATGGTTGGTACGTTTCCACTGTTGCTTTTCTGAAAGGCCAAAAAAATGTGGTTTTGTTAGAGGGCCTGGGACCATAAATGTAGAAGGAGCCTATCACGTGGTTGATTTCATTATATGTTGCTGCTGGGGGAGGGGGGGGAAAGGCTCTTTTAATGGGTTTTATTATATGGTGGATTTTTTAAAAAAATGTAAGCCACCTGGAGTCACCTATGTGTGAGTTGAGTGGCTATATAAATTTGTTATAAATAAATGTCTTATTTGTATTATTTTCATAAGCTTTTTGCTGGCAATTGTCAGAATTAAATTCTGAACTTGACAGGTCACTGGTGTGATTTTAAATTCTTACAGATGTTCTACAGCAGGGGTGTCAAACTGCTGGCCCGTGGGCCGGATGCGTCACGAGGAAACCGTGCCCACCTCATTGCCAGCAATGTGGAAAAAGCTTCCATACGTCGCGCGATGTCACATGACGTTGCGAGTTTGACATGTCTGTTCTACAGCTATTTATGAAATGCTTGAATGGAGTTTAGTTACCTGCAAGGGACCAGAATTTGAGAGCTACATTTGTTGTGTTACTTGTCTTGGGAAAATTATTAATGTAGGTTGTGGGATATAAACACCAACCCAAAAAAAATTCTGGAGATGAGACTGTATCCATGTTGTCTGAAAGGATAAATATATAAATATTTATTTTTTCTGGAAATGCTTTACCAAAAGCGATTCATAATGTTTGACATTTATAGCCCTTGTCTATTGCAAACAGGATCAAATGCAATACCAGCAGTTATATGCCAGTTTTCTTTGTATTACTTCCTCTCTTGTTTGTTTTATTTAAAACCTTTGTATTGTTTTATAAACATATTAACTCTACACATAAACAATCACATCTGCCCAATTAGAATCAGACTTCCAGCATGTGATATGCCACAGTCCAGTTCGTAATAATTTATGTTATGCAGTAATTACCTTATATATTAATAATTTATATCCCACTTTATATTCCATGGTTGTTTTCCCCCTCCCATTTGATCTTCAAAAGTCTTTTCCCATGAATTCAAATGAAAGGCAGATAAAGTGCTAGCTCTCCCCTCTCAAAAAGAAAAAGAAAAAAAAGAATGAGAGTTATATTTGAGTTCTTGGTTGTTTATATTTCTAAGCTGCTTAATCATTACCTATTTCTAAAACAGAGACATTCCATATTACTTCTTGTAAATGTTTAATTTTTAAAAGAAAAAAAACAACAAAAAACAATGTGGCAAAATGTTAGATTTTATTTATCTCTCTGAAATCATAATTGTCACTTTAATCTACTTTTATCAGCATTATTGCTTTAGTCAATTTTTAGCTTTTGAGGAGTACTGAATTCTAATTCTAAATCTTCAAAAAAGGCAGAAACATAGCTTTTTTTTAATAAGTTCAAAAAACTTTTAATTGATTATTTGGATTGCAGTGTCCTGCTGACTAGCAGTTTTTCATTCTACTTTTCAAGTAAAGTTAGATGAAGTCCCTTTGTGAAGAAATTAAATGTGGCTTGATTTATGGTTTGGCATATAACCTTTATGGCATCTCAAGGTCAATTTACAAAGAAAGAGTACTACATGAAGCAGATTATGTTTCCTTGTAGTGTAATGAAAAGATAAAGCCCTGCTGAGAATATGAGTCCCAGCAACATGGTCCTCTAACTTTATCCTTCTCATATTGCATGCTGGGATAATTAGTCACAGCAATTTACAACAGCATGAAAACTGAAAAAAGTTCAAAAATAAAGTTGAATTTACTTTTATTTTTGTCAACTGTAACTGTCCTTTAAAACTATCATTCTCTGTTCTAGGTAGCCAGATAAATGTGAACAGAAAGCCTGAAATTGGCCAAAGAAAAGTACTACTAAGGAGAGACAGAGGATAATTAGTGATAGATTAATTGTATGCTTTCTTTGTTCTCATGATATTTATTTTCATGACTAAATGATATTCATTTTACATAGATTTAATGTATGGAATGTGATGTTATGCTGTTTGTCTTGATTTTGTGTAGTTTCCCTCATCTCTATGGAGACATATATGTGCTTAGTGCTATGCTGACATCAGCTACTACAGAGAAATGACTTTGCATATTTTACAGACAAAGTCTGCTATTTAGTTGGCTACTATTTTTTTCCTTTGGACTGTGCATGCATGGCAGAGGTGCTGTACCTGTGTTTGGCATAACAGCTATTTGTCCTAAATATGCTCAGCCTTTCCTAGCCAAAATTGAACCTATTGGATGGAGAAATAATGAAATTGCCACAGCAGAAGAAAGGGTTGTAAAAATGACAGAATTTGCAAAAATGGAGAAATTCACTTGTTTGGTGACAAGATAAACTATAAAAACTTTTTTGAAAGATTGGAAAACGTATAAAAACATGTTGAAAAAAATGAATTTATGATTTATGGCTTTGAAGATTAAGAAAGATACAGAATGAGGGGATTTGTAAAATATTTAAGAGGGAGGAGGGACAATAAACTCATAATTATCTGTTTAAAAGAAGGCCAGAAGTCATTTCTATACTGTATTTCTTTAATTTTATTTTTTTCTTGCACTCTTTTGTTTTTCTTGTTCTTTCTTTTTTTGATGAATCTTTTATTATATGGACATTCTTAATAGATATAAATAAAGCAAAGTTAAAAAAAATGGAATCCACTAGGAGGATTTGTGGTTGATGCAAGTTTCTCATCCTATCTAAGTGCTGAAGTATCTTTTTTCCTAAGTGCTGGAAGTATCTTTTTTCCTATGTTTAGAGCAGGGGTCCCCAACCCCCTGGTCCATGGACCAGTACCGGGCCACGGCATGCCAGCAACTGGTCCGCACAAACAAGGAAAGCCCCATCCACAGGATGCAGGCAGCAGACAAAACCACACCCCCTCCGGTCTGTGGAAAAAATCTCTCCATGTAACCGGTCCCTGGTGCCCAAAAGGTTGGGGACCTCTGATGGCCTAACGGAAAGGCCTCTGACTGCGAAATGCAGGCCAGAGCTCCATTCTCAGCTGCAGAATGAAGCTGCTCCTTTGGCCGCAGAAGTGGGCTGGCTGGGCAGGGTTGCCAGTGCCGCTGCTGCAAGATGACTGGAAAAGACACCCACCCACCGAAAATAAGACCTGGTGCCTCTTTTGGAGGCAAAAATAAATAAATAAAAAGACCGGGTCTTATTTTCAGGGAAACACGGTATATCTCTCTGTATCATTCTATCCTTATAAACTACCTTTGCTTCCATCACATTCATCCATCACTTTGTATACTGTATTTTATTTTTTACACTTATGACCTCTCCCTTTTTGAATTCCATCCAACCACGATATTTACGTCCTCTTAATCTATTCACTTTTGTTTTACATTTTAGATTTGCAAGTGTATCTCATTCATTCTCTGAATTGTATGACCAACCATACTAGCATAGTTTTTGTACTGGTTAATCACTTCTTCATGACCCTTTCTATTTCTTCTTGTTTCAGCAAACACATTTCTTAAGTAACCCACATCTATTTAACAAAGGGAACAGAAACAAATTCTTATACAGAACCATTTTTGCCTTCGACTTTTCTTTCTTCTTTCCTTTGCTTCCATGTCTTTATTTTCTTAAGATCCACTCCTGATAAAATAATGATCTGTCCCACATTTACACCCTTTTATCATCCTTGCACCCTATACTAAGACTTTGCCCAAAGAATGCTTATATTATTCTGTGCATTTTGGGATCCCTATTCAGAACTTTCCATCCCGTCAACCAGGAGGTATATGCAGTATATGCAGTGTACAGATACACATTCAGGATGGTGTGAGACACTCTGGTACCCAAATACTTTGATGATGGACTAAGTGTCACTGTTTCAATGGTCTATCAGTGTTTCAGTGGTCAAGATCAGAGGTCCCCAACCTTTGGGGCACCAGGGACCAGTTCCGTGGAGAAAGGTATTTCCACGGACCGGAGAGTGCATGGTTTTGTGTGCTGCCTGCATCCCACGGATGGGGCTTTGCTTATTTGTGCAGACCGGTTGCTGGCATGCCGTGGCCTAGTACTGGTCCACAGACCAGGGGTTGGGGACCCCTAGTCTATGTAGTCTTTGTCTATCTGCTTCTTGCTACATAGCTTAATCCTATGTTTGAGTAAAGTGTCATATTTATCCCAAAGCTCCTTAAGATTTCTTTCCCCCACCCCCACAGATTAGGCCAGAAAAAAACTGTGGTCTTAATATTAATATATGGTATTAGATATAGATACAGATATATATTACCTATCTATGATAGATAATATAATCTAAGGCAGTGGTGGGATTCAAATATGTGAACAACTGGTTCTCTGTGTGGATGCCACTTCCAGAAGTCCGTTCTGGGCCTGGGCAACAAAAAATTAGCTATCGGTTCTGCGGAACTGGTGTGAACAGGCTGAATCCCACCACTGATCTAAGGTAACTATTAGGTAAACTATTTAGACAAAAATATTTAGCCTGCCTTGCAACTACGTTCAATTGATTTTATTTTGTTCAGTAGGCGTATTCACATTTATACAAAGTGTAGTAATTCTACTTTCTTATTGTATACACGTTGCAGACCTGAGACCTATCTAACAGATCATCCGGTCAACTGGTTGAATCATGTAGCTCTATCAAATAACTATTAATTAAATAATAGGTTGCCCTAAAAGGGTCCAACCAATCGCTACTTCCCAATTTTTCCAGTTAAACCGTTAACAACTGTCCCTCCTCGATTTCTTCTCACTTGGTTCAGTCCAGACTGTACCGGGGAAGGGCGAGATATTAATGTTGCCCGGCCACAAGCGTTCACTTTTCAGATGTCACCCCTTTACCTTTTAGAAGTAGTGGTTTGGCCCATGACCTCTGCTCCAGCGGGGAGCAGTAAATCAAGCGGCTGCTTTTTCGCACTGGCAACTTCCATCTCGCCTCAGTTCACTTTGGCTTAGGCGGCTGGGGCGCGCGCGCGTGCGCGTTCTGTCTCCCTTTGCCCTGAGGTCTCGTTACGTTTCCCCGCTTTCGGCGGCGTTTGGGTCGCCTTCGCCTTCTCCTCCCCTTCCCTCGACGGTTGAGAGGCGCGCCGCCAGGGGCAGACGGGAGCCCGAGCGCGAGAGCGCGCTCTCCTGTTAGGAGAGGCTCCGATGCCGCTGCTGTGAGATGGCATCATTTTGCTGCGCTGGGGCGGCAGCGGCGCTAAAGGCGGCGGCGGCGGCGGCGCCGACGGTTGGGAGCGGTGCCGAAGGTTGAGGAGACAGCCCCTCTGTCAGAGAAAGGGGGCGGCGGTGGGGGCACTACCTCGCAGCTGGGGCTCTGAGCCACGGTAAGGCTGAGCGAGCGAAAGGAAAAGCAGCCATTCAGCCAGCTTGACTCTGGACGAATAAACAGGCTGCTGCGTAGCCGCGCTGCCGTCTCGCCCCGGCTGTTCCTGGGGGGGGGGCTGAGAGAGACAGGAGGGGTGAGGGGTGGGAAAAGGCACGTTATGGCTTCTTTGAGGGTCGCGATTGGGGAAGGAGCTCTTCATGCCCCTCGGGGGACCCCCTCGGCTCCGTGGCGTCCCGGCTGCACCAAACGGAGAGGAGAGCCAGATCTGCCCTCTACTTTTTCCTGCCCAGCTTGCTCGAGGGAAACCTGGAGGGGGGGGGGGCAGAGGCTGGTTTGCCAGCCTCTCTTTCCAGACCCGGTTCGCCCCTTGGCCTGGGGGGTCACCTTGTTTATTCGTTTTTAGGTCTTATAACTGCCGGGAAAGGGGGTCAGGGTAAGGCGGGCCGTGGGAGGCGAGCCAGGTTGAGGGCTGAACCTTGAACCCCCGTTAGCGGCGTTGATTGGCAGAGGCGGAGGGTGCCCTGGGAAGCGTTTGGTCAGACGAGGGTGACTTATTTCTGGATCCAGAGGACGGGGGGTGGGGGGGAAAGTGGCTCCGTTTTTATATTTGTTTGTATTTATTTCTGGGAAGGAGGTGATGAGGAAAAAGGAATGTCTCACTTTAGGGTGACTTGCTTTAACTCTGCAGCGTCTCTCGTTCCTGATTGCTCCGTGCAACCCCCTCCTCCCCCCCCCTTTGCCCAAAATACTGCATACACTGGCAGGGGTAGTCAACCTCGGCTCTTTTATGACTCGTGGACTTCAACTCCCAGAATTCCTGAGCCAGCTAAGCTGGCTCAGGAATTCTGGGAGTTGAAGTCCACGAGTCATAAAAGAGCCAAGGTTGACTACCCCTGGCATACAGTTAATACTGCTTTTCCCCAAGTGTAGAGCAGTGTTGTTGCTAGACTGCTGAACGCCTGGAAGGGTTGATTGTATCTGACCAAAATATTCCCCATTTCCACACACACACTCGAAGAAATGTGTTTGTAGTTGACTAGCTAATGCAGATGTTTATTTGAAAATAGCTCCCCCAAGTAAGCCCCCCCACTTGCTTTCAATTAAAAGTCCTTGTGATGTAGCACTGATTGAAATGGTGGGGAAAGTGTTGTGTAATAAGTTGAATGGCATTCTTCCGAAACCCAAATAATGAAGTCTTTGATACTAAAAATCTTATTTAAAGTGAAGTTGACTTATGTTGTGACATTAGTCTTCTGAAATGGGTTGACGGATGTTAGTGTTCATTCAAGTCCTGCTTGATTCTTCTTTATGTAATTGTTTGATGTTGAAGTTTTTTTTATTAAATAAACTTTTTATCTTTTTTAAACTTTTTATCTGTAAGGTGATATAAGGTTTTCCACTAAGGCTTGCTTTGCTGAAGAATATGTACTACATTTTGGAATAACAGGTCCTAGATCTTAAACATGTTTTCGCTTTTTTTTGACAGATTAGTGTCTTTAATCTTATTATGTTCAGATCTAACCTACAATATTGATTTGATTTTTTAATATTTTATAACTATATATAGGTCATCTTTTAAGATAATAAAATGCACAGGTTCTTGTGGAGTAGAGATTTTGGGCAGTTGTCTTTCTCACTCTTCATTAATAGGCTGTAATTGCCATAGTTTTGTTTTTATCACTATTAAACACAAAAATATTGTTTCCTCCAGCCTGCCATCTCTGTAGCATCCGATTTCTCAGTTTAAAAAGACAAAAAGTAATTTATGAAATACCGCTAATTTAGCTGGTCATTTACCTTAATAAATAAGTTGAGATGTGGATCAAGTTAGCTCTTACCACTAAAAATTCTGTCTATATATGATTGATTTACTATTCTTTAACAGGAACTAACCAGGTGATGTTTTCCATTACTGGGAGCAAAACCAAGTACCTTTAGCAGGATTTATTTCCATTTCAACATGTATAAAAGCTGGTGGCAAATGACACTTCAAAAAAGAAAGAAAAATATGTAATTTTAAAAGGTACAGATGAATTCAATTCAAGCTCAGTAGTGATTACATGACTATTTGTTAGGCTTTCTTGGTAATCATTGGGAAGTGGTTTATTTTTGCCTTCTTCTGGGATTTTTTTTTTTTTACTTCCCAGTCTAAGGCTTTTCTTAAAATCAGTTTTATAGCTAAATGCTATCTGACACCCAGAGAACCTTGCCATAAGAACATATGTCTTGTTAGTATCCATGTTAATGTATTACAGTGCAACATGGTGTATTACTTGTAAACATCAACTGAAACATAATATAGTGGCTAATTGCAGTTTAGTATCTTTATAACTACAGTAGTGACATAGAGATTACTCTCATTGAGATAAATGGAGCATATTATCCAGTTAATTGTATTACCGGTATATGCTTGGAAACTAAAAAAAATAACTAGCATTTATCTTGGAAGTGTTAAAATAGCATTACTGATTTTTGTTTTCTGAGCATAATTCAAAACACTAATAGGTAGAGAAGTTGCTACTGACTAGGTAGTTCTGCAGAACTCAGAAATTATTGCTAATGAGACAAAATGAAGCAAGCAGGATTTGAATGTAATTGCTTGTTCTGTTCAAATGTTGGTACTTTTGATGGCCTTTTCAAATTATAGATCTAAATATGAATAAGCACAAGCACAAATATTTGAATATTTAAGCAGCATCATTTCTTATGCAATTCTTCGTTAATCAAAGGATCTTAATACTGTACTTCCACAGAGTTTCATGAAGGTCAGGTTCAAGTATTATACTAAGCTATACTAAGCTATATATCGTGTTGTTTTTAAAAACAACACGATTTATAGCCTAGTTCAGATTTGAATCAAGTTTGCAAAAAGGATGAAGAAAGACAAGTACAAATTCCAGTTTTTAAATATAAACAATGTTTTTTATAAAGAATGATGAAAAGTTGTTCAGGAGCGACAGAGAGAAGCCATAATGCAGCAGATTCAGTGGAATGACTATATTTATTTACTTCAAACATTTATGTCCCATTTTTCAGCTGATAAAGCTTCCAGAGCAAGTTTCATATCCTTAAAATAAGTCATTATTGTGCTACAGTGTTGAGGAATGTTTGTTGCTACATTATTTGCAAGGAAGAATGAAAGGCTGTGCTTCATCAGAGCAGATGTAATCAGCTTTTATCCCTTTATTGACATCAAAAAGAGTAAAGTTTTCACCACAATAACTGAGCTGTCTTGCAATAGCTGAATCTAGTGGGGGGGGGCACTGATAATAATCTATAGCTAAAGCACAATTAATGCCTACTTTTCCATGCTTCTTTGAGATTTAGATATTCTTTTCAAATAGAAATCCAAAAGAAGAGTAGAATTTTAGTCCATTAATTTAACGTCTGGTTCATATTATCTGTATTTTTGTCCTTTAAATCTCCCAATTGTCTATGCTCTTTAATAGAAAATAAAAACCATTCCTGTGAAATTTGATTTGTTTAATTCCAATTTGTTCAAAAGCACTTTCACCCTAAATAGTCTTTTGAGATAACTGTTTCTTTATATGTTTTAAAGTTTCTTACATCGACTTCTTGTTAATTTTTTTCTGCCAAAAATGTTTAAGTCTTTAAAACCTTTTTTCTTTATTCCTTTGTAATACAGAAAGCATAATAACTCACCAAATGGAATTTTTATCATGCCACTCAGAGCATCTCTCTTTAGCTGTAAATTACTGGCATCCAAAAATAATTAAATAATGAGGCTTATATGAACTTTATGTTCATATAAACTGCATTGTGGCTGTGAGTTTGATTGAAATCCCTTGACTCCCAACTATTAAACTCATGATCCAACCACGAAAACCTCAGTTCCTCCAGTTTACTTACAAGGAACAGCTGTTCAGAGTGCAAGTGGGCAATCTTGTAATCTTTCCTCTTCACTTTCTGGCTACTGATCTGGTTGCAATACCATTCTGCTCCTTCAAAGACATCTAGTTTGCCATGAATCCTCACCAGAAACTTGACAGATGGTAGTTGATTAGGAAGATCAAACAAAGATGGAGCTTACTGAAATTCTGTGCAATAAAGATGTCAGTGTCCAAGATAACTTAGAAGGTGATCACTACTTACAAGAATTGTTAGTACTAGAAGATGAAATGTCAGGCCCAAGCCCAGAGATGAGATAGTAAGAGCCAATCAAATTCAATCCACTATTAGTTTACACATAATGGACAGAACTAAACTAAGGCTATAGCCTTCTTATCTATTAGCTATATCCTGAGAGCTTCTAGGATGTAGCTACCCTGAGCCTCTTCCCTCCTCCCTCACCCATCTTGGGACTGCACACTCTCTTAATCTGGACCACTTTCTGGGAAAGCTCTGTGTTGGCAAAAGTTTCTCCCACTGCTTTTTCAGGAGCACATTCCATCACACATGAAGTTAAATCAGCAGTCTGGTAGTTACCGTGTTAGAATATTGTAGGAAGTGATAGAATAGCTGTAGAAATAGAACAAACAACAACAGAATAATCTATAGAGATTCTAATCAACTTTGCCAGAAAATCTGGACAAAATGGCTAAAAGATTGTAAGAGTTCAGTCTATGCACCAATACCAAAGATAGAAANGGGGGGGGGGG